CTATCTATCTATCTATCTATCTATCTATCTATCTATCTATCTATCTAATCTTCCCACCCTTGAACCTTCCGAGATATAACATAAAGCAGATTTTCCCCCTTCTTTCCTTTCATTCTTTACTCCTGAGTAAAACCTTCCATCCCCATACTGGCTTCAGGTCTTTGAAAACCCTAGAGTGAAAATCCACCTTTTTTGGGGGAGTCTCAGACTGGAGACGCCTTCATTAATGAAGGGGCTTTACATTTTTCACCGGTTTGAGCCCTTCAGATGGAAAAGGCATGATTGCAACCAACCAATCCCTACGCCCAAAATTCGGGTTGAGAAATTGAATTTCTGGCTTGTTGATCTGGGTTGCCTTCAGACGTTCAAACTTGGGGTCAAGTTCCCGGTTTATTTGCTTTCAAAGATTCCTTTTGAAATATTGCCAAGCGAGAGGAGGGGCATTGCCCAGTAGATGCCATAGAAGGGTTTTTATTCTGGGCTACGAGTTGACGTGTCATTTAATTGTTGTGGTGTAAAACGTCCTGGAGTGAAACCTGAATTTCACATTAAATTTTGTTGAACTGACTTGCAAGTCAGCAAAGAGGCTTTTCCTAAGAGAAGGAAGGGAAGAGCTTTAAAACCCCAAAGAAATCAGGATTTCTGTTAAATAAGATAAAGGCAAGGCAAGGCTGTGGAAGAGAAGGAGAGAAATGAAATACCCTTTGCCCGAACGATTTCAGAGTTTACTGTCTCGCGTTTTTAATCTTCGCTGGTCTTCCCAGCACTTTTCTCCCCTTCGTATTTTCCTTTTTTTAAAAAAAATAAAAATAAAAATTGTAAAGAAATTTATCCCCAGGTTGCTTTTTGTAAGGCTTTGGAACAATCTGGCAAGGCTGAGAGAGCAAATAATCCCACTTTTTGAGAATAAAACACGGGTGGGCTTAAAAAGGCCCCCCGTTTTCAGGCAAACCCCCAAAGCACTTTCTCCCCTTCTCCTTCCTTTCCTCCCCTCGCCTCCCACCCCATATTGCTAATAACCCCATTTAAAACTTCATCAGCGATGTAATGATAGCAAACAGAGCGGCAATTGCCTGTTAACAGTTGGATCTGCGCTGTAATTAATTCAATGTCTGTTTTAATCAAACGGAGGAGCGATCAAGTTTTCTCAGTCCAGGGTGGCATGCGTGACGTCACCCTAAAAGACAGCCGGCCAATCCGGAGGGGGCCTGCGGGGCACGTGGGCTGGGTTAAAATGAAAAGGGGACCAAAAAAAAAAAAGAACACCAGGGGAAAAGATAGAGGAGGTGGAGGAGAAGAAGAAGAAAAAAGAAAAGAAATTGCAAAGGAAAGTCTGGGCGAGTTGGAGGGGCTTCCGCGGAGGAGGAGAGAGC